AACTTAAAAAATATTCTTGATGAAGATCTAATGGTAATTAGTAAATTCTAAAAAATATTGTATATCTCTAATTATTTTTGAGACATTCAAATCCATAATAGTTTAGATCTTCTTTGAACCTATTATAAGGCCATCATTTGAAATGATATATTTTAAAAAATCAATCTAAGTACTATGAAATATATACATTTTTATCTTAATATATAATTTTGTATCTTTAATTTTTTTATAGTACATGACAAATATAAAGTTCATGCTTTCATGCGTTCTAAGAATAGACTAAGATGTTGTTTAGATAGCATATAAAAAAATCATTAAAAAACTCTCAAAAAATATCATTCATTATATGTTGAAAAATAGCTGGTGTATTTGTGAGTCAAAAGATATGACATTATATTCAAAATGTCCATACTTGGTTTAAAATACAATTTTTTATTCATTTCTTTTTTAATGCATACCAAGTTGTATGTCCTTACTAGATCTATTTGTGTATAGAACTTTTTTTCATTGTATTGATCAAAAAGTCTTGAAAGTAAATGCAAAGAATATCTATTCTTGATTGTGATTTTGTTAAAACCTTGATAGTCTATACACATTTACAGAGATCCATCTTTCTTGTTTCTAAATAAAATAAGAGCTCTTGCTAGAGTTTTTGAATGGTGTATGAAGCTTTTAATCAAGTTTTTGTTAATGAATTCCTTGAATATAACTAGCTCATTTTGTAATAAGCTATAAATTGGTCTAAGTAGCAATTGAGTTCTTTCTTAAAGATTAATTGAACAATTATATGGACGATGCTTTAAAAAAATATTCACATTTTTTTATTAAAAAATATCTTAATAATCTTTCTATTGACTTAGAATACTACTTCTAATCTTTCCATTATTACAAATAGGTATGGCATGTATAATAAAAGATGATCCTTTATTTGGAGCATGCATGAAATCTCTTGTACTTATTAATAAGGATTTCATTATATTAAACTTATAGGATTCTACTTGATTAAAAAAATCTTAGATTAAATTATGAAAAAAATCAAAGTTATGAAAAATCTAGTCTATTTGAAGGTTATACTTCTCTTGCCACAATAATTATAAAATAATTAGGTTGAAAAGACATCTAATCACATTGTTTATTATTAAATTATTATGACCATTAATTTTTACATCTAAAGGAATATTTTTAAGGATTACATCTCTAAAAGATAACAAACGACCATCTATAACTTTCACATGCATATGTTTGATTTTTTTGATTAAAAATATTTCTTATTTTTTGTGAAAAAACTTTATTTATAAAATAGATTGAAGCTCTTGAATCTAAAAAAGAAGAAACTTTGTGATTTTTTAGTCCTAAATAAACTTCTATTATAAAAAAAGATGAGGGATTTAAAAAAAGAATATGACATTTATTAGATTTTGCATAAGATTGTAGCAACACAATCTCTATTATAACTAGAAAAACTCATTTCTAAACAAATTTTCCTCTTTGGCAACCATGCTCCTTATTTTGTGATTATATTGCTTCTATAGATAATATTGAGCAATATGCTTTGATTTTACAAAATATAGATACAAACCTTCTTGACAATGTTAAATCTTTTTTTGCTTAATAAGAAATTTAAACTATATTGTTTCAATTTATATAGGATTTGATCTAGATGAATAAGCTTCCAAAAACTTATAAAGTGTCACTATAACTTAATTTGTACATCTTCTATTAAATCTTTGTTTTTAGCATCTTTTAAAGAATTGATTGTTGCATGCAATGGCTTAAACAATAAATTGATCTAATAAGTATCTTCTTGGTATTGTCAACAATAAATCCATAATATTATCTTTCAATCCATATAAAAATTAATAAAGTTTTTTTCATTCCAATCAACATCCCAAATAAGGTTTTAAAATTCAACAATATATATGGTGGTTGAATGTGATTTTTATTGAAAAGATATGAATTTTTTGTCTTCTATCTTTTTGTAATCACTTTTTTTAAATATGGTTGTAAATACTTCTAAGAATAAATTCAAATCATAGAGTAGTTGTAAATCCTTTCCATCAAATAAGCAAAATAAATGAGAACACTCTTAGATAGAAGTGCACTTATAAACTTAACTTGAATAAATCCATCAAGGTATTGAAAAGGATTCATTTTTAGATAAAGCTTCATTTGTTGTAGAAACCCTCAAAACTTTGATCTTGTTCCATCGAACTTCAGGGGCATACTTATCTTTGCATCCATCATATTTGTAATTACAAGGCTTTTTGAATTCAATTATGAACTTAATCTATTTGCTTCTCTTAATTACACAATTCCTTAGCCTAGACTTTAAATTTAATTATTGACTTTTTTCATGAAAGTAGGAATAGTACTTCTATGATTTACGTTGAAAATACATGATTTCTATTCTAAAAGTGTTGACAAACTCATAATTATCTATAATAGTTACAAACTTATTCTTACTTTTGCCCAAAATAGCATCCATAATTTTTCCTCCAGTAGGAAAGTCAAACAAATTCAAAAATTAAATTAGAGAAGGATAATTTATAATCTCTAATATCAAATGAAACTTTTCAAAAAGAGATATTATCTTCTTTCTTTAAAGAATAATTTAGTGTTAAAAAATTAAATGACAATTAAAAGATGGATAGTCCAAAATCTTCAAAAGACAATAGTAGAAGTAGAATAATCCACTCACTTCTAAAAAAAAATAAAAAAAAAATAAAAAAAAATAATAAATTAACACTCTTAGCAAACTATTAAAGACATGAATCTTAAAGAATTAAAAGATCAATAAATTCTTGTGTCACTCGAAAAGACTAAAAAATTACTCAAAGATGGTATTAAAATAAAATGACTATTACTAAAGGCAAGAAAACTATAAAGTCTTAAAATAAGACTAAAGATTAGAAATATGTTAATAAGAGTGAAGAAGGCTTCACTCTTGCTTCAATGTATATTATCTATCTAGGGGCTATATGGCAACATTCTAGAAGATTCAATTCCATTTCTATTGCCCTATTCCCAACTATTGCCTATGTTTCCAATGTTTCCAGTCTTCCGGCCCTTGTCGTTAGGAATAGTCGAAAATTGGAAATGGTTGGGAATATGGATAGGAGCTTCAAGGATGCAATGGTAATTAAGATAGAGTGGATTGTTTTACTAACAAATTCGGTTATTCAATCCAAATAATTTATAATAAAAACTTATTGCTTTTGAATGATAATATTTTTTCACAAAGTTTTTTTTTTTTTTTTTTTTTTTTTTTTTAATTTTATTAAATTTTTAGTAATGCTAGCAAAATCATGTAGATATATATATATATATATATATATATATATATATATATATAATCTTGAATGTACTTTAAAATATTAAAAAAAATAAAACTTTTTTATATTGATTTTTTGATTAATGAAGATAGTGATATTCAAAAAAATAAAACATCTTGCAATGAGAGATTGATAGTACATTACAAATCTATATAAGAAAATAAAACATCATCAAATAATCAAATTCAATTACATGTTACTAAATTTATTAATCTCTTTGAACAAATTAATCTAAACTAAATAGAATGCATATGTTTTTAATGCACTTTGTTCTAAATATGCATATATAATATTAAAATTTTTTCTTTTATTTTAAAAAATATATATTTATTTATAGAAACATTACAATATAAAATTCTATATCTTTTAAACATATATAAAATAATATTAATTATATTTATGCATATTTTTAAATTACTTAGGTTGAAATTGCTCTCAATAATATTATACTTGAGTTATTACATTTAATTAGATATCTAGTACTTTTTTTAAAAAAAAATAGAATGGAAATATTAGAATAGTAAATTGGGAGAGGAACCTTTCTTTGCCATGCATTTTGAATTATTACTATATATTTATATAGTTAGTTGGTGTATGCCAAAAACTATTTATTACACGTAGCTCCATTTGATAAGGCACTTGTTCTCAATAAAAGCGGGTAGTTTTTGCTCTTGAATACCTTTTTCAATAGACTCTCACGACCTGCCACGTAGGCAAAGTTCATAACATGGAAAGATTTTCAGAGCTGCGGGCCATGGGCAACCAATCAACCCGTCCCTGCCCGTCCCCTGCCCAAAAAGGCAGAGGAGAATCGTGGGCCCAGGAATGACCCGGGATGCGGCCCGGAACATGCTAGTGGGTCTGAAAGGGACTTTAGCCATGCTTTTGAGCTTCCTACATCTATGACCGAGAGTCCTATGGCCGCGCCTTTTTGCCGCTGTCCTTCCACAAACGAAGTCCGCAGCACCATCTGAGCTACTTCCACTACAAAACAAGATGAGCGCGGAGTGCATGCAATCTCACTACAATTATACTGCTATTGTATCAATTTTTGATACACAAAAAAAAACATTGAACATCAGAACATCATGGGTTCTTTTTAAACAAAAGATATATTTTATGTCAAATTACGAAACATTAAGAAAAAAAAAAAAAAAAAAAAAAAAAAAAAGGAAGAAGAAGAAGAAGCATGGAAGTAAAAAAAGAGACGAAAAAACCCCTTGTGCATGAATATGAACAAGCTTTATATTGTCACTGGACTAGTCATGCACTCCAAATCGCAAACCTCAAGACTTTCACTCAACGTCGACTCACTTGGCGCCAAACAGCGAGGCTTTCAAGTTCCCGGGAGAAACTGCCGCGTTCTATCTGCTTGTTTCCATTTGGTTCCGCATATTCGTTTTTCCACGTGGCACTGCCAACCACCACAAAGGTTCCTTTTGCAGCACTCAACAAAATATCTTTCACGACTCTCTTACAACTGTCATATAGCGGCGTACACACGACACGTGTAAGAGCATACTCCCTGCCAGCAGGGTGTCGCGATATATGTCATTCCCGCCAGTTTTATTTTTTCGCGGGTGGATTTTACTCAACCTAGAAAGTCTTTATTTATTTATTTAATTTTAATATTAAGTCTACACATGAAAGTGGTGGGGTTCGTTGCTTGCTGTCCACTGGCTCCATTTTCTAGTACTTCAACGGAGTTGTCTTCAATCATACAATTGTTATCGAATATTTGATCGAGGTGTGAGGTTGTTCACTAGCTATTGTTCGCATACTCGATTTGGTGCTGCACAGAAGCGAGATTTGTTTTCTGGTCTTAGTCCTGCGCTCCGTGGGCCGAGAGAAACATCTTGAGAAGTTAGGCTTGTGATCTCATTTGCAAACATGGGCAAGGGAGGCTCCACTGCGACCTTTTGCGAGGTCTTGTTAGCTATTCTGTTGCCGCCTCTGGGCGTGTTTCTAAGATATGCCTGCGGGGTAAGTGCAGTTGGAGAAGTTTCGAGGGAGTTTTCTTGGACAAATTTGAAGCTTTGAATCTTTTTTGGGGTTTTCTTAGTTCAGACGTGCGTGCTGTAAGAAGATGGGCGTGTCCTTGGTCTTTGAGTTTTGGTAGCGCGGAGGATCGTCAGCCGGCTGTTAATTTCGATTGTTGCGCTGGTCCTATTATTGTTTCTATCAGCGTTTTTCATGATCGATTTTGTCTACATTGTGTTGCCGAAGTGCTGACAGTAATTTATTTCGTTTCTTTGCAGCTGGAGTTCTGGATTTGTCTACTTTTGACCATCCTGGGATATATTCCTGGGATCTTGTATGCGCTTTACGTCATTGTAAGATAATTCTGGAAGGTCTGCTCGAGGTCTTGTGCGCCAGACGGGGCGAACACAACAGAGAGACGTCCATGGTCGTGGACTAGGATTTTGATACCTAGCACTTCAATGGTTCAAAGGCGTGTTATCTATCGGTCTGCTGTTTTCTTGTAGATAAAGACCATGCTATCAGCTTTAGGATCTCAACAGGAGTTTCACCTTGGGAAGGCTGCAGTGATCATCGGACCGTTTGGGTGCTCGCGGTAACCACACCAGAAATGATCATGTTTTGTGAATGTTTGTAAGAGTAGATGAATAGTTTATCTTTTGTTGCAATAAATTTCATACGTTGAAACTCCACTGGTGTTGAAAGCCATTATGTACGGATTCAGCTGGATTTTCTCTGTTGGTGTACGGTTTGTCAGTTAGTTTCGAGGCTTTTTTACGTGAAGTGGCTTATGCAGTCCCATCTATCGCGGTACAGTATTATCCAACAGCTCAAACTTTGAATGAGTAGCGATTGTGAAATTTGCAGAGTACAAAGTGTACAAGTGAATATAATACAGAAGAAAAATTCACTCTATTTTCTATGAGTACACCTTCTCAATATATCTATTCCGAAATGTTTTATTCTGCGACCAGAACTAAAGATATTGAATTCGATGAACTTTGATCGTCATAAATGCAAATGCAAATCTTCAGAGGAACTTCCAGTACACTCAGGTTGTTGGAATTGTTCTTCACCGAGAAGAACTCCAATGTCGCTGATAACTAAAAGTGCGTTAAACCGTTTTCTAATCCAAACTAAAAATAAAATTTCTAAATGAATATACATGAATAATTGACATTCTGCAGAAAGATGGTACCCTTTCTTATTTATTCGACTATAAAATGATTTATGAAACTGATACGTGTATCACTTTGCTACGGATTATAATGTTATCAAACCCATTACTAGTTGACATAAATCCTGCCAATGATCAGGGAGAAGATATGCCACCGGCCACTAACAAAGCAGGCATGAATTACCTACTCATTATTCATGACTTTATCCGCTCTGAAACATGCACTTGCTTCTCAGCTTGGTATTCAACAAAAAAAAATTCTCCATGATGGTAAAAGTAGTATTCCATCCACCCAGACATTTCCAAACAGCTAAGACGCTCAACACAACTTGGTACGAGGCGGGATTTAATATGAGCTGACGTACATCCGTGCAAAATCGCGAAATCTTTGCAATGAAGACTCAACATACTATCTAAGCTAGCAGGACAAATCAGCTGTAGCAAACATTGCTGTCTCCGAGAACAACTAAGACTTTTCTACTCGTCACCACTTTCGTCACTGTACGCCACGAGTCCAAGGCAGTTTCTCTCTCCTGCATTCTCAGCTGTTGAATCATTCAGCTCCTTTTCGGTGAGGGTAGGAGGCGATTCAATTCTTGCCTTTTTTGACTGAGACTTAATCTTTATAGCAATGGGCAAAGCAGACTTGGGCTGCGGTCTTTTACCAGTCAACGAAGGCTTCTGTGTCTGCATACATTTGGTGAATAAAAAAGTGAGGTGTTGCAAAATCATCCTACTCAAATAACGTGGCATTGTCAACACTATGCTAAAAAACTCAAACAATATCCAATAGCTACGTTGTAGCAACACGCCATTTAGAACTGAAGATTATAAAAGAGATCTCAGCGGAAAGCGTTGAACTTAATTAGACGAAAAGGAGAAGTAATCTTACATCTGGTTTTAGAGTACCAATGGTTGAAGCCTTGACTTCTTCTGTGGTGATAGTCCTATTAGCAATCAAATTCTGCAATTCACCGTCACAACTTTTCGTCAAATTTTGATGAACATAGTGCATAAATTGACGAAGTTGCAATCAGACAGTAACAATGATCTGAAGAATGATTTCCCCATCTTTGCTTTGATACACGCACATGAAAATTTGTCAGTTCCCGTGCCTCAGCATCAGCAGCCTCCTGCTCCTGTTGCTTTCTATACTGCAAGCCAAAACCAAGACATGGAGATGCATAAAACTTGATAATTATAATGTAAGTCACCAGTTTGACGTTCATTAAAACAAATCTCTCCCAACCAGAAGCCCTCACAAGTCTTCTCCAATTCTTTGAATCAAATACGTATTACTCTAATCGTCCCGTACCTCATCTAGATGGAGCAGTACGACACAATATACTATCTAAGCTAGCAGGACAATAACCTCCAGAAGCAAAGAACCCCTAACTATGATTTGTCGTACCCAGGTCCCCGTCACAAGTAGCCATGCTCACCGTCTCCACAGCATCTAAAAACTCAGTCTCATCTTCGTCAAGCGCCTTCGGCGGTCCTGAGCATACATCGAAGGATGGTAATCAATACGAACAGCCCCTTGCAGTTAAACAAGTCCGCTCCAACTTGCTAGTCAGTTTCATGTAAAGACACTGCATGTTATTAAAGCAACCGAAAAAGAAAATTGCAAAATAAGATCCAACAAGTTAATCATCGATTACCAAAAAACAGGCTTGATTCTTGATGGCTACTTACCGATCCTGACACTGTGGCTTCCTAAAGCAAGTCTATCAAATGCAAACTATAGAAGATGCATGAACATAAACACACAATTTTTTGAAGGCAAGATAACAGACTGTGCTTAAAGCGCTCGTTAAACTCAGCTTCTTTCTTATCCGAGTTCTCCTTCAATATCTGCAATATTGAGAAACAACATACAAGGATAACTACCCACCAATCAAACTTGGAGTTGGTGCTACCATTCGGAACACCTACACTACGAATTCGTAAGAATTAAGTACATCTACTAAGCAGAGACTCCGGAATATCAGCACAGCTTTAAAAGATGGTGCAAACCTGACGACCATCGGCAAAATATTAATAAGTTCTATACAACCCTGCAATGACAGCATAACCTTTATGGTAGAAAAATAAATAAATAAGATATAATAAAATAAAAAACCATTGACAACACATGGATTAAAGAATTAACCTCGTACAAAGGTCGGTTGTCGATTATTTCCAAAGGCTTGGTGTCTGAAGCGCTCTCATTCTCGGCATCAGTCTGCGAAGCTCAACGGACATGAATACGTTTTTGATGACTACTGACTGGGATTATGTAACACAGAGTGCAACAAATTGATACCTGAGTGGCAGAAACGAAATTTAGAAGTTTCAATTTAGGCTCCGCCATCGCTGGAAGTTCAATCTGTTCCCAGTAAGGAAAAACCCCGTCAGTCACAGAGAGTCCACTAAACCCTAAACTTTGCTCGCAACCTACAACATATGATTCACATTTCCCTACCTAAATCTAAACTGAATCCACACACAAGTAAGTACAGAAAAGTTCTTCTGCGGCGTCTTTTTCTGGTTTAATTATCTCTCTCACTGAACGCCTCTAACAGAAACGACAATTTTACACGCAATCCTGCAGTAGTTCACACCGTCCGCAACTTCTATTCAATATCTGGATACGGTCCCTGTCGATCACATTGCAAACCTTTTACACAAAAAATAATATATCATAAAATCAGTCAAATTTCATGCGGCCAAAAGTACTCAAATCTCTTCACCTGAGATTACACAAAATAGATCAAAATAAAACAATTCCGCAGTCTAACCTTCATTCGAAAACTTTCGACTTCGTTTTCCCGGACTGTGCTCTTATTACTGGAAATCCATCACCGACCTTTCAAACACACGGAATGCCGAAACATCATAGGTATCAGTTGCTATACTTTACCTGAAATCGCAATCTCCCAAATTAATCAAAAATCCTCTGCCTATCTTCAGTTCTCACGGGCCCTGCGTACACGGACCTTCAGACGCAAACCACATCTCCATGACAAATTCCCCGAAAACCCAACACCGTAATGGCTGCGCGTATTGGTAGACTATGCTCCCTTGTCATATCCTGCATGCAGATTCATCTCACAAGAAAGTGTGCCGATTCTTGATCGGAGCAAACCCTATTAGTCCTTGGGGTTTCGGCTCCACCCACAAGAGTCAGAGCATTTAACCCACAAGAGCCCGAGCACCGACGGTGTATCTGGTTGCGTTGGGTCTCAACTGTGTCTTGCGGGCATCTAAATTTAAACAGTCTTTTGAAGTCATCACAAACATGTCGATAAAATTATTTTTACATTGTCTTGGAAAAACTATTTTAGTTATTACAAAATTTTATTGAAATTATATTAATGTTGTCAATTAATCCATTATCTTGTAAAAATATTGCCAATTAACAATATAATGTGATTATATTTCCAATTCTTCACTTTTAATTTGGAAACACAAGACAACATCAGCTGAAAAAAGACACTAGAATTTGAAGATTAGGAAAAAAATTGATTCAAAATTAAATAAAAGACTTGCACAGTAAATGAATGGATTTAAAGGATAGAAAAGTAAAACACTAATCCTTTAAAATGTAAATGGATTTAGAAAGCTTATATACTGAAAAGTAACATCAATATTCAAACGAATCCAAATAAATCTTCAAATGGAATGCATAACTTTTTGTTAAGGAATTAGATGTAAATTTAATAGAGTGGTGTCTAATTAGGCAAAAAATGCTCAGGAGAAAAAAATGGATAAGAGCATTGTCTTATTTTTTTTTTTGTGCTTATCCATATTTTTCATGAACCAGTAAGAGAAAAGTTTGATTAGGGTCAATGCTCTATTATGAGCAAGTACCACCTAAGCCAACACAATGCATAACGCACCTCAATAACAACAACTTTTTGCTCCTCTATGCAAATGATACTATCCCCAACTACTAATAGACCAAGCTTGTGCTTGAAAGCTTGTACTAACGATTGGAAAGATTACAAGACGATACTCAAGCAAATATTGGGAGTTGTATCATAATAAATGTTGCCATTGTGTGAAAGAAAAATAAAACTACAAACTTAAGTTTGAATAAGGCAATGTCATTGTCAACAACAATACACTTCAACTTCTTGTGCTTTATTGATAATAAACTTCCAAAGGTGTGGAGAAGAGTGCAATATTTGGTTATGAGAAATGTCTAGTTAAGAGAAAAGCTTGTTCTATGTCCCAAGGAATTTCTCTTAATCAGACATCATTGTACCATATTTTTTTTCAAATATTTGTCTTTTTTTGAAATTGTTCTCTTTGTTTTTTTTTAGTTGTATCAATTTTTATGAATTACATTCAACATAGTTCTTTAAGTTTACAAAAATTTAAATATATATATATATATATATATATATATTATAAATAAAACTAATATTTTTTTCTATAAGGACCTTAAATCATACAATTCCAATTTGCAAGTTTAACGCTTTTTAATTATATGATTGCAAAATTCATATATCTTTCTATAAAAATATAGAAATATCAAGATGGAATTGTAAAACTTCCTAAATCAAACTAAAGAAGTAAATTGTCACACTTAAAGGCAAAGTTAATCACTTAACTTTATAATTAAAGATCAAGATAAATTAAAAATAATAATTTTACATCATGTTGTGATCCATTAAAAATTTAGCTAGTAAATGCAGCATCATTCTATTTAGCATTGATTTATAATTCTTGGCATTATAAATCATACAAAATAGATTCAAAATGTTATAAACTTTTAATAAATGAATTCATATTTAATAAATTATAAATTCTATTATACAATATTTTTTAGTTTTAAATTTAAAATATTACAAAAATAATTAAATTTTATCAAAAAAAATACATATAAAATATAATTTAAAAAATAAATATTTGATTTTTTGTATTGATAATTATTTTTAATTAATATATTTATTTATTTTTATTGTATAATAGAAATAATAAAAATTATACATATATAGATATATACACCTTTCTATAAGAAGTAATATTTAACAAATATTTATTATTAATAATAGAAAAAATGATAATATTCAAAAAAATTATATATCAAATATACCTTTGAATAAATATAGTAAGATTCAATTAATATATATATATATATATATATATATATTCTAAAATTATTCTCTTTTATATATAATATTTTTGGATTTTATATTTTAAATGTCACATTATTCATACTTATTTTTAAAGAATGTTTTTCTAAAAGATTCAATGTCTTCACAAAGCTTACATTTTTTTTATAAATACTACATTTAATTTGTAACTTTTTTGTAATTGATGTTAGTTTTTTCTAATTTTCATTGTTACATGATAATTGTTAAATTGTCTTAGTTTCATACTGGTTTAATTGTTATATTGTCTTTGTTTCATACTGGTTTAATTGTTTGATTGTCTTTAAGTTCTACATTCACAATACAGAATAAAACAAGCAAACCAAGAAAATTCTTTAGATCTCATCATCTAATAGCAACTGTTAGTCATCAATAGAATATTAGTGTGCTAATTTACACTCCACTTTAAGGCTTCTAATAAAACATTAACACAATCAAAAGGAGGATTTCAAAGTGCCAATGAATTACAGAGTTGCCAATTCAAGTCATCACAAGTTATATTAATGTTGTGTCCATAGTTTACAATAACAGTGCTAGATAATTATTTAATAGCGCTGCTTTATTTGAAGGTTACCAATCAACCTTTGTCCATGTATGTAAATTTTGAGATATTTCAAGGTAAGAAATCAATCTTGTAGAATGAAGCTTTGATTGTTGACTATTTTCTATTAACAGAGAGTAAAGCAAATAAATGTGACTCATATAGGTGCCGGTATTGGACCACTATAGTTAAGTTGAAAAATAAATTGAGCTCTCAATTATACTCTAAAATTTAATTTTTTGTTATTTTCCTATTTTATGATAATTGAGCATGTTAGATTAGGATTTATATAAGTGGAATTTAGTTTTATAGAATTTTTAGGATTACAACTCTTGATGGTATAAATTATAGCTTAATTCTTTGAATTAGGTTAATTAAGACTAAAGTGATAAGAGTTAAAAAATTAGAATTGTAATTCAGTTAGTTTAATAATTTAGAGGTTGTTAGTCATTACTTTGAGGGTTGGCTAAAAGCCTATAAGTGCACCTATAATTATTCACATGATTTAAGAGTTGGAATTATAATTCTCTAAAAGATTTAGTGAAGTTAGCAATGATAATTTTGAGCTTTCTTCTAAATTCGACAAATTCAAGTGGCATGGTCATTCTTTTAATTAATGGGAGTCTTTTTAATACAATGGTGGCACTAGATTTACCTTGTGGAGTGAAGAAAACAAGATCAGCACCTTCTCCTTCAAAATACAAGTGAAGCAATTAAATTCTCATTTTGAAGAATTTTACAAAAAATTGCCAAGATCCTTGTAAGTAAAAACTTCCATGAAAATTATAATTGAGCATGGATTGAGGCATGTGAGTAGTCGATCTTAGCTTAAAAAGATTTTTTGAATACAATGGTGAAGTTAGATTTATCAAAAAAAATGCTTTCTTGACCACTTACAAGAGCCATCAACCTTGGTAATGAGATTGGTTCTTGGATGAATGAAGGCCGTAGATTTAGATTAGGGATCTTAAAAATCAAGGGTGGAGATGTAGCCATCCTTCTACGAGCCTCCACTCAATTTTATAAGAGAGGCTTGATTTTCCAAGCCCTCTCTCTGTCTCGTCTTTTGGGTGAAGGGCAAAGCCATGCCAAAGTTTAGTCAAAATCCTAATCTTAATTTTATTTAGATTTTAAATCTCATTGTGAACCTTATGATTTTGTGTGTATGGATTTTGAATTTTGAGGGATGGTTATTAAGTTTTAAAATTTGCTTCATTGAGGTAGATAGCTTCTCGGCCTCCCAAATATCCCAAGGGTTTCAAGGACCTCGGATTTTCCTCAATGAGTTACTTAGTTTCTTTTGTTTCAATGTAAAATTCTAAGTTGTTGTAGCTTTTGTTGTTAGCTTCTTGACAAGATAAGACTTGTTTAATTTGGAATGAGAAGGAATTTTTTGTAAATTTTTGAGTACAAGGAAGTCGACTGCCTTTGCAGTTTGGATCAATTGAGTTCGGAAAGGTATTTCTTAATACTTAATAATTGGATTTATTTGAAATTTTAAAAGAATCAAGCTTTAAAAGCTAAGATTTGAAAAGCACAAGTTTTATTGGATTTGAAAACAATCTGAATTTTTAATGAATTTCTAAGTGAAGAGGATTGGTCACCATCGTAGTTTGGATCACTCAACTTCAAAGGAATAATTCTCACGACTAGATCATTAGATTACAACAAGATTTATTGGATCAAGAGCTCATTTAAGTTAACCTTGTAATAAGATAAAAATAATTTATATCAAAGATAATTGCTAATTTTGGTAAATTTTGGAATAGAAGGAGTTCGCTACCTTCAATCCTTGGGTGTTGTCAAGGTACCTTTGCTTCCACCTTATTTTATTTTTACTATTATCTTCATAGTCACTTCTAATCTCCATATTTCACCTTTTTGCTAATAAATTTTAAGTTTTAAGTTTTAACCTTTAATATTCTCACTTTAAGTTTTAACTTTAAGTTTTAAACTTAACTTTTAATTTTAACTCTTAAACTTAATTTTTAATTTCAACTTTTTAACTTAACCTTTTAATTTTAAATTTTAATTTAACCTTTTAATTTTAACTTTTAATTTAAAATTTTAATTTTAACTTTTAATTTAAAATTTTAATTTAAACTTTTAATTTAAAATTTAAAATTTAAATTTAAATTTAAATTTAAAATTTAAATTTAAATTTAAATTTAAAATTTAAATTTAAACTTTTATTTTATTTTTTTAACTTAAATTTTAATTTTAATTTTTAATTCAAACTTAAGTTTTTATTCTTACAATCAATTAATAGTAAGAACTTAGTTAATTATTTTTACTATGTTTTCATAGTAAATTTCATTTAAAATTTTAATTTAATGTCAATAATCATTGCTTAGAAGGCATTAATTTGAATTGAACTACAAACATCCACATTTAAATTAACTCAACAATTTCACAATTGAAAGTCCCTCCATTTCACTCTCTGAACTTGTTGTATGGCATTAATTTAATGAGTAGTAAATTTGGAGTTCACAATAAATTTTGCAAGAGAGACCAAATACTAGAACATAGTCTGCACGAGAA